CTGGAACCTGGGGTTGTTCCTGCCCAGATGTTTAAACAACACGTAGATGTGGTACTCAGGGACGTGGTTTAGTGGTGCACTGCACAGTGCTAGGTTACCAGTTGGACGAGATGGTCTTAAAGGGCTTTTCCAACCTAAACGATTCTATGATTCCTTAATGCCTGGGAAGGGTGAGCGGTTTGTAGAACAAAAGTCTCCGGGAGACTGTTGCTGATTGCTTCAGCCAAGGTCTGGCTGCCCATTGTGGAGGAAGAAGGGAGGACAGGACACAGTCGGTCTCAAGAGGCAGCCCAAATCCATGTCAGGTCATAACTACCATGAAATCTGCCTGGGCACCAGGCCAGAGTCCATGCTAAACTTAATCATCTTTATGATGCTAGACATAGGAATTGCTTGGTCAAAATCAATCAGTGATGTTATGCTGGCAGTTGGAGCAGCACAGTGTTTCTCTTCCTTTGCAAACTGGTGATCCTAATATTGAAATAACATTTTTCATGACTTCCTGTGTTGGCTGCTTACAGGGAACACCTGTGTGTGGGATGGGAGGCAGTTTATCTGTGCTTTTTGGACAGAAAATCCTTATGCATGAGGGTAGAGTGTGAGTGGGGTTTTCTTCCTCTTAGATGTTTTTTCTGTTGCTTCTTAACCACATATGATTGTCTTCTTATTTTTGTAATAAATAGGACTAGGACAGCGTAATGTTCTCTACTGGCTACTCCATGACTGGAGTCCTGAAGCCTGTTTTAAATATGATATGGATGTTGCCAGGAATAGAAACCTCTCCTAGGAAATGAATGCCACTGCTCATCATAGTCTATGTAGCAAATGTACCGTGAGTTTGTATCACAATAGCGTAACTGGAGTCACCACAGCTTACACTCATAAAACACAATCAGAAATTATTTGCTTATGAATGTATGTATGTAACAAGGAAAGTTTTAGGGGACTGTCCCTCTACAGCTGCCAGATATAATGAGCAATGTTAATGTGAAAATGAGTTGATCAGTCATGTACAAAGAGACGTGTGCTCTTTTCTGAGGGTTGTATTATTATAGTTCAGAACCGTCAGTTGGGGAGCAGTCACAGGTGGAGAAGGACACAGCTATTTGACAACCCACTGAGACTGGCATTTCTCCTTTAGCTGGCTTCATCCTTTGGACTCTCGTGCTGTAAGCCAATGATCTTAGCTTTAACTATAGTAATATTTTTTGTATTTGAAAGAGGGAGTAGCTGCCCCATGCCACACCACCCTCACCAAATCTAGTACATCCTGTTCTAGTCTTTAATCTTTTCACAGTGAAGTCACACTTTAAAAACTGCCCTCTAGTTCTGCAAGTTACAGCTTTGGGTTCTGCCCCATCTGACGTCTCCCACTGAGGGAGGAATTCGCTCTTCCATGCAAATGCTGTCCTGCTTGTCTGCACACTGAGGTCTGACCCATCTGCTCCAGTATTCCCACTGTTCTGGGACCTGCTGAAAGCTGGGAAGTAACACTTCACCTGTTTCTGTTGCCAGACATCAGTGTTGGGAACACTGCCGCCTTGTTTCCACTGGTCTAGTGTGGAAGAAGGAGCTACAGGAGGACACCTACAATTGCATCAGTCCTTTTACCTCATGAACAGGAGTATCGCAGGATGGTGGGAAGGTTTCTGCTGGTGGGCAGAAGAAGGATGGGCTCTCCCTTGTACGGACAGAGCTGCTGAGAGTTAAAGTGGCTACAGAACACCACTGGTCCAGCTTCACCAAGAGCCATGCTCTGGCTCCTGCACCCAGCACTTTCTTCCGCATGAATCATCTCACAGAAACCGAGGGGGCTGCTGTGGGACTGAATTCTTCGCAACAAACTTGGCTTCAGTAATTAAGCCTCAGACTCTGTGCTGCACAAATGTTTCAGTGGTGAATAACAAAGAGAGAATATTTTAATTTCCAAGAGACACTGACTGCTTGGCTGGCAGGACTTGTAGGATGTGGTCCAAACCCATTTAATGTCAATGACTGTCTTTCTGTTCACTTCAATGGAGCTGACCTAGAGGGGGCTTTGTTATGATTCATCCTTATTAGTCAAGTTTGGGACGGCAGTGCCTAAGGGCGAGCATAGGATGGCTCTCCTCTGTGGTGCAGCACAAAGGAGAGCTTGCACTCTAAACAGAGAAGACACAAGAGCACAATGACCATCACACCCACCTGCTGATTGGGAAGGATCAACGAGAGAGAGAGGGGAAAATTAAAAGCTTGGAGCCTGGTACGGAATAAAAGAGGTGGTAAAAGAAGAAATCCACCAGTGTTGATATTCCCATGCAGTGGCTTCTGAGTGGCTCATCTTGGCAGTTGCTGGCCAATTCCTGTTGTCTGTGTATCCCACCTGTGCATTCAGATAACCTCTCCATGGTCTCAGCAGAACAAGTTAACTGGTGGTCTAAACATCTGATCCTGATCTCACCAGCTTTAAAGGGTTTATATACCCCTAAGTTAAGCATGTGCTGAAGCGCTCTGCTGGCCTGGAAGGGCACTGGGAGAGTTTTGTACTGATGAGGCACTGGGAAGAGACAGAAAGCGTTGGTGGTTGTCATAGCCAATCTGGAATACACTACAATCACCAGATTAATCTCATTTGGAAGCTTTGAATTAAATCTGTTTACTGTAATAGAGCCTCCCATAGTTCCCCACCTTCTTTTTGTTTCCTGGTATATTTTCATTTGGGAAAGCTGCAGCGTGAACGTGTTCTCTGTGCTTGACTGCATCACGATACGGCTACATTTTTTGGTATTATCATTAAAAGGAAAGCCACAACATCACTAGCTTTTCTCCCTTGTTCCTTTAGGTTGCCTTGACTGCATTCCTGTTTAGGTCTTAACCAAAATTTACTTACTTCCCTGTTTCTTATTCTTTCAGCTTCTTCGAATGCAATGACTCAGCAGCTACAGGATGAATTTGACAGTAGTGTGGAGAATGCAGAAGTGTGGATGAAGGCCATCCAAGAGAGACTGAGAATCAATGACAACACCAAGGGACCTCGATCTGCCCTAGAAGCCAGACTGCGGGAGACTGAGGTAAGGGAAGAGCGATGTAGCCGTTCAAAGGTGGCTGTCACAGCAGTTATTGCTCTGAGATCCAGAGTTTTCCATTAGGAAACTGCCAAATGTCCCTGCCTGTTGGAATATTGGTCCTGTGTGGATGGGTTTACATCAGTATTCTTTCTAATTTTTCCATCTGCAAAATGTTTACTGATGTTGTAGGAAAAGAAGATGGCAATTTGATATCCAAGCTTTTCAGATGGATTTGGAAGACTAGCAGCAGGTTTGGCAGGTTAAAATGTTTACGCTTTCCTATGAGCATGCTCAAACCTGAAGCAACTGAGCTTCTGCTTGCAATTTCCAGGCAGTGATTTGCAGAAGTCCAGTGTGTGGTACGAGAGAATCAGATCATGGTAGAGCTCCATCTCCTCCAGGACTCTGACACTGATAAAGCTTGCAGTGCCCCAGTAATGGGCCTTTCTGGAGTAATCCCCATGTCCTTTTCCATAAACCCTGATGATAGGGTTTACAGCTCCCCATTATAATCTGTCTCATGAAAAGCTAAATGTTTTCGTTTCTTTCTGGTCTTACTTCATCTCTTGTATAACTCTTCTCACAGAAATCCCATTGCAGATGGTGCCTGCTCTCTTACTGTGATTCCACATTCATTAACTTCAGTTTCATTAGATGCTATCTTGTTCTTGTGATCTCAGAGAATGAAATGCTCCTGCTTGTCCCATCTTTACCATTCTGGATTAGAGGGAGTGGTGGTATTTCTATGATTAACATTGAAACTATTTTTATACTTGTATTATCTTTCCCATCATTATTTACCCAAATTCTTTCTTTTTGTGTGTCTGCTCATGTTTGGACTGCCTCTTTTGAAGTTCAACAACTCCAAAAAAACATTGCAGGCTTACATGGAAGACGAGGAAGTTTTCCTGATGGTACAGTGAGGTCTTCAGCCTTTTTCCTTTACTCTGGCTCATTGGAGGCTGGATCTTGCCTCTGGCATAATATAGAGACTGTTCATGGAGCGATGGATGATGTTTAGACTTGCATGTCAGTCATGAAAATCTGAAGTGTTTCCTCTTGGTCTGTAGATTTATTTCTGCCCTTAAATTGTTTTCACCCTTTCCTTTTGTCGGGGAAACTGTGATATGTACAGTCTCAAAAAACACGGAAGAAACACAGGAACATGAGTAGGGAGAGTGGTAGTTTGGCAAAGGGGACGGCAGAGATAACAAGATGTGAGGCTTAGAGGTTTGTGGTGATTTAATATGGCCTGAACTGAAGCCTGTTGACTTTAGGGGAGGTCTATAACATGCAAAAAAGTAATGTTAGAAGATTTTTTTCAATTCAGACTTTGGAAATTCATCATTCTAAAGAATAACAAGTGTCTGTTCTCTCTTCCCATGTGTACCTTACCCACCTCCTGCTCCCTCATCCTGCCTCCTTTCTGGGCCTGGCTTCCCTGTCCAGCTCACATCCCCTCGTGATGTGCTCGCTGCTTCACCTATTGGCTGCTTTCAAATCCACTGATCATTTTTCAGTTCTTTTTTTGCATCTGGCCTGCCTCCTTTTTTTCATGCTTCCTTCCTGTGGTTTATTTTCTGTTAATTTGTTAATGAAAATGCCAGCCAAAGATAGCAATCATTTAAAAAACAGATTTGAGAAAGGAAAATGTCTGTACAGCCACTGCTTTCTCTCCAGCTGTTGTTTGCTTTCAGTTGCTGGAAAATGGCAGGCGTAGAACACAGCTTTACTATTAAATTTTTCCTGCCAAGTGAAAATGGCTTTTATTTTCTTTCTCTGCCTTACCCTTTTCCCCTGCTTTCCTGGATTCTTTTAATCACACTTTTCATAGTACATAGCTCGTCCAAACACCTGTTTGGACATCACATGCAGATGTGCAGTGTACAGGCCAAGGGAACAAGTCTTTTCCCAGAATGTGAGGCTGGAAATCCAAATGCCTGTGATTTGGTCTCAGCTTTGCAATAGCTGACATGATTTTTTTTGAGGAAATCCCATGAGCCTAATCTTTCAAAAAGTAATTGCTGATTTTGAACCTCTCAGTGTTTTTATTATAGAAGCCTTTTCCTTCAAACTTGGGAGCCTGCAGTTTGCCAGGAGTTTGTGGAAGAACAGCAAGAAAAGCTAATCTGGATGGTGTCAGAAATTTGGATAAAGTGATGCTGAAAGCTGACATCCAAATCGAGACATAATTGATCTGTTACATGAGCAGAAGTTGTGCTGATTTTCCATCTCTGGCTAGAGGAAGAAAATCTACTTAAAATTAGATGGCTTAACTTGCAGTCCCTGGCATTGCAATTTGTGCAAGACGCAAGACACGTGTTTTCACCGATTCATATCTTAGCAATGTAGGGTCAAAGCAAAAGTTGGTAGCAGGCAGAAAATTCCACTAGTTCATTTCTCTTGGCTTGTGTTCTGAGCCAACTTTTATTCGCAGTAGAAAGCCTTTTTAATACGTTTCATGATTTCTTATGGTAGAGCTTAAAATTGAGACGTTGCAGTGCACCCTGTGAAGATTGCCTCTGTGCTCATTGGCAGGTGGGGGCGAGCAACTGGCATGTGGAAACACAGTGCTATAACTTTATAACCGCACTTGAGACACAGCTGCAGATATTTGATAGAAGATGGTCTGGGTTTTGTAGCTAACTTAAAATGGTTTTCAATTGCTTCATGGTTTTCAGTTCAGTTAAGTCCTTTAGGATGTTTAAGAATAAACAAACCTGAAGAGAAGTTCATCTTTTCTGCACAGGAGAAGCTCTGCAGCAGGGACATCATGATTCCTGGGTAAAAACAAAGTTTGAATGGCAACAATTACACTTGCTTTCTCTCCGTGCTTTCAGTCTCATTTGTTTTTCTCATAGAAAATACGTGCGCTGGAACCAGAAGGCAGCTTGAAAATGGACTTGATCCTTGTGAAGGCAGATGCTGCTCTTCGCAGCATCAGTGAGGATAAGAAGCATGAGGTTCTGTCTAAACTGAAAGACATCAAAGCCTTGTGGGAAGAGACAGCCATATACATTACACACTGCCACAGGTAAGGCAAACAGGCTCTGCCCAAGGCTGCTATTTGGTGTGTTGAGGCAGTTGGCTCATCCTGGGCTTTCCTGAAGTGCTTCTTGCCTTTCTCTGCTGTGTGGATTGTAGACGTAGATGGCAGCTGTAGATGGCAATCACTGCTAATCCCAGTCCTGTGAGCATGTGGAGGACTGTATAGGGAGAGAGGGTCCGTGGGACCTCATTGCTCTCTCCCTTCACAGCCAGCCCACCTCATTATCTTGAACGATGAGTTTGGCCAGGCACAGGGACCTAGTACAGCGTATTTCCTCCCCACAGCAGGGAGGACCTGGGAAATTAATCTGGACCCTCTGAAGTCAGAAGAGCTTAAAATTGATGAGAACCCTTTCCTTTGCTTTGAAGACCTTTTGAGCTTGCCAGTCTCAACTGCTCCCATCATAAATTCATCTAACTCATCTCTCTTGCTCTCCCCAACAGCCGTATTGAGTGGGTCTGGCTGCACTGGAGTGAGTACCTGAAAGCCCAAGATGAGTTTTACGCATGGATTCACAACATGAGGGTGACCTTGGAGCCTGACATCGAGTTGCAGCTTGGCTTAAAGGAGAAGCAGTGGCAGCTAAGCCACGCTCAGGTTCTGCTGAATGATGTCTTAAATCAGTCAGTCCTGCTGGAAAGGCTGCTGGAGGAAGCTGCTTCCTTGTTCAGAAGCTGCTTCCTTGTTCATGAGGATAGGTGACCCCAGCGTTGATGAGGATGTTCAGAAGAAAATGAGGGTGGAATATGAAGGAATCAGGGAGGAAGCTCAGGTACACCTATATGGAGTGGGAGGTGTTCAGGTTTCACCAGTGTTACAGTATTTTGTGCTATCTGTGATGGGGCTTACCTGGTAGGACTGCAAAAGCAGCAGAGCTGAGGACCTCTGGTTGCAACAGTCGTCATGTCCCCAGATAAGCTGTTAATTGGGATGCTCTTACACTCCGCTTTGTAGTATGTTGTAACTGCAAGCTGTTTGCTGTGACCTAGTGAATATTGGGTTAGGTCATCTCTGCATAAAGGTTTAATTTTTCCTGATCTTTCAGGACTTTAGTGACCCTTGTATAACCAAAGTACCCATTCCTTGAACTAGGGAATATTAAATGCATGCAGCCTTGTTGGAGGAAGTAGCATTGGTCCAGATGCAGAGGTGCTCTCCCTGCCTGCAGGACTGGGAAACGCAGAGGTGGGAGTCAGCTGTGGCCCAACACTGAGCTCAACAACCCAGTTCCAGTCTCTGAAAGGTTTTCACTGCACACAAATACTAATTTTTACCTGATGCTGATCTTCCAGCTTGACCAGTTGATAGATAGACTGGTGTAAGACATTGTACTTCATCTTTCAGTGGCTGTGACTTCCTTTACCCTATTCCTGGGTAAAGATTTCAGATAAGGCTCATACTTCTCACTTCTAAAACTCAGGTAGAGACAGGATTTTGGACCACGTGGCATAGCTGAGGAGCACGCATCTGCAGGTGGGCAGGAGAATTCAGTTTCTTACTAGCCTATTTCAACAGAAATACTCAAAGAGATATTTGAAATATACATAGGCACATCTATCCTAAGCATATAGGGATTAAAATCTAGTCTTTGTCTCACAGTGGCTTCCAGGAATTCCATGGGCTGGAATTACCTGGTGCAAATACAAACAATTGTCATTACATTGGCTCTGCTATCTGCTTCTGTCATAACATTGCCATCTATTTGTTCCCACACCCACGCCCCAGCCCAGAACTGGAGCTTGGCAGTGGTGCATGCTCTGCCCTCCCGGGTGCTGTCGTACAAAGTTAACTTCAGATCACTGGAAGAACAGCAGCATTGAGATGCTCGTGCCTTTTCTCTGCTTGCTCTGCAGATAATTTTTGTGATAGAAATAAAACCACCACAAACCCCAAAACAATGAAAAAAACCCCAGAGCTGGCACCTTTTGCGAGCATGAAATTTTTAGCCATAAAGATAAAACTGCTGCTAGGAAGTCTCTCCAAAAACCAGAGTGTATTTGGAAATTCTGTGTCTGCAGCTGCTGCAGAGGGCTGTAAAGCCACCAACGAATTTGCACCTCAGTGTTGATTATTTATTTTTAAAGGTAGATCTCTTCATTACAAGGCAACTGAATTTACAAATAAGAAGGTTCCTGGGAATTCAGGTGTTGTCTATCTAGATCGCCATTTAAAATTCTCATTCACTGCCTTCTAACCCAGATTTGTCTTTGGTTTTGAAGCAGAAGACAGTCATTAGTTATTTTAATAAGGCACTTCTTTCAAACAGCTCATTTGAATAGTCAGAGCCAGAATCTGACCTCCGAGACTGGTTTTATGTAGCGTAATTGCTCTGACTTGGATACACAGTGGTGTAAATGAGATCAGGAAGTGGCTCACAGTGCTTCGATAAAATATGTCTTTATGTCTCCAGCCAACTGAGACTCCAGAATAAGCTTTATTTTGGCATTGGTTACAAATACCACATTTCATAGAAGGATGGAGTGAGAGAATCCAGCTGAGAAATCCCTCTTTCAGGAACAAAAAAGGGAGTTGGGAAGCCTTGGACTTTGCAGCTGGAGTAAAAGCAGATTTCAGTAGTTGGTGCCAAGGTTAGAGGCGCCTTGGGAATCGTGTTGGAAAGCCCAGCACTGGTCAGAGAAACCCATCCGCCCCTTCCAGCGGGAGGGAGGGATGAATGAAAGAGATGCAGGAGTTGTAAGGGGTTGCTCCGGCCCCTCACATGAGAGGCCAAATGTGGCTCGCAGATGCCAGCCGGATGCCGGAGCTGCCTGCAGGGGAGGCTCACTGGCGTTTGTAGGTGACACTTGTGTTTGTGCAGCATTTTTAGATCCCGTGCAGTTGTCCAGCTCTATCAGGAGGCAAGCTCTTGGACAGTGTTTCTTAAAGAGTTTGCCTGTCACATTGCTTCTCTGGTATGAGCAAATGGTGTGTTGGTTTTTTTTAATTTCTTAATGATAACTTATGTCCTTATCATTCCCAAATTTTAAAAGCATATAATTATATTTTAATTAATCAACAGGGATATTTTTAGATGTGGCAGCATTTCCTACGTGCTTTACTTTGCCTAGTAAAATAACAATATGCAGAGGTGAACAATTGTGGGTTTTAGCATAAATGGAGACTGAAGGTAGTAAGAAAAGTTATATGTTGATATTTAGTCAAATACATCAAATATGTCTGAGCACATCAGATTAATTTCATGTTGTCTCTGTTAACTGAAACCTAGATATTTATAATGCAAACCCTCACGTAGAGCTAAGACTTAAAGCACCAGGAAGGGCTACAGGAGCTTTCTGGGCTCTACTTGAGATGCCACAGAGGGATTTAAAGCAGAAACTCCCTTGATGTGCTCTAGATTGCCCTGGCTCCAGGGCCACGTCCTTGCTTAATGCCTCCTCACATAGACCAAGTGCAAGTGGGGATGGAATTTAATGCTGTCCTGCTCCCCGAACACCAAACATAACAGAAGGAGGCAATGCCATATTTTCCACCGTTAGGCAGTTTCCCTGCCTAAGCTCTTGGGGTGGCTGGGGGCTCAGCCAGCTCTTTGAACGCCTTTTGTTTGACAGCTTAGCGCAGTCTGGCCAGATCCATGGCACCTCTTCCTTGTCCTCAACAGACCAGCAGGTGTATCCAAACTGTGCTGCTTTGTTTGGGCTGAATGGCCTGGCTAGGGCTGCGTCATTTTGACTTCCTTTTTAACTCTATATACTTTAGCATAAGACTTTTGAGTTTAATAATAGCTCTGCTTTGTTATTCTAACTCCCTTTAGACAAAATTAGCCTAATCTCCTGGAATCAATAAGCTTGGGTTGAATTGTTTCACTTCAACATTTGGCCTCTTTATACCACTATAAGATTGCATTCTTTGAGCCCCTAACTTGAGATCGAGGTGGGAATCGTTTAACCTGTGCACACCTCTGCAGACCTGGGAATCAAGGCAAGGGGATTTAGCAAACAACTGAGGTGTTCTCCTGGATCCATCTTGGCCACAGAAGTCTGCAGTCATAATTCTGCTTTTCAGTCTCATCCGAACTCATGTTTGCATAGGTGGTGCTATTAAAGGTCCTGCCTTAATAAATAGGCAGCATTTCATCCTCCGTGGGAAGCAGTTGTCCCTTAGGTGTCCCTCTTCTGTCCCAAAGCAAGGCAACTCACTTTAGGGAAGTCGCTCTTGATTTGCACAAGCCAGCGGAGATTGCAGTGTGGAAAACACAGATTGGTGCAGTGTCACCTGGAGAGTGGTGGCTTAACCTGTCCCAGAGGTGAAGGGCAAAGTCCCAGAGGGGACACCACCTCATATCAAATGGAGATCCCACGGTGACTGATGGTCATGCCACCCTTCTGCTGGCCTGGCTGGAGAAAAGCTGAGGCTATGGCCCAATGGCCACATCAGGCAGATTGATGGGTGTGGGGGTGTCCCCAGAGCCTCACAGAGAGAAGGGAAATGCAGAGGGGACTTTGAAACTCTGCCACCATTGCAGCTCTCACCCTGCTCTCTGTGGAGGGCAGCTGGGATCAAGCTCTGCTCAGAGGCACAGGATGTGTCCCGTATTACACAAAATGAAACTCAGACCGTGGTCTGTGACAGCAAAGCCTTTCAAGGGTGCTGCAACCACTAAATGGATTACACAAGAAACAGTTTTTCTTTCTAATGTAACTGTAGTGTTACCTCAGTTGCTCTCCGTGCCAACTGGTGAAGGGCAAGAAAAAAATCAGTCTGATTTTGTAGGAAATAATAGTTAATCATAGAAACATTAAGGTTGGAAAGGACCTCTAAGATCATCAAGTTCGACTGTCAACCCAACCCCCCCATGGCCACTAAACCATGTCCCCAAGTGCCACATCCACACATTTTTTGAACACCTCCAGGGATGGGGACTCCACCGCCTCCCTGGGCAGCCCCTGCCAGTGTTTGACCACTCTTTCAATAAAGAAATTTTTCTGAGCAGTTCATGATGTGCAGGCACTTGTAGGATCAGGGGTTTTTGGTTATAGCGTATGCACACAGTAACTCGGAAAATGAAGCCTGCTTCCCACAAGCTTAGATTTGCTTCCAGGGTCTTGCTTTGTGGTCTGCTAATGGAATAAGTATGAAGGTTCTTGGACTGTATGATTTCAAGGGACACCTTGAAGGTGACAGTCACTTTCTGTACCACCTGCTGAAGTAATGGATGCTTTGAAACAATTTGCATGCCCCTAGCACAACCTCTCTTACTCTCATTTTCACAGATAGGCAAATTCAATCTGTTGTGTGCTCGTCTTTATTTTTAACCAGCGTGAGGAACATAACTGCTTGTCTCACAAAGTCAAAACCAGAAACAGTCTTCTGTCTCTGTTCTTTTTCTAATGAGACAATAGGAAGTTTTAGCAAGGGGAGGCTAGAAATTCCCCTGAGAGGACCTTGCAGAGGTCCTTTTGTGTCCTGTTTCTTGGGGTGAGCTATGAATTCCTGTGGAGACCAACTGCTACCGGGGCTGGCGGAAAGGGTCTTTTGTTTCAAAATTCTGGGCTAGTGTAAAGGGAAGAGAGCCAGATAAGCACTGTCCTCACAGCTTCTGATGTCTCTTGTTACAGAGCAGGGTGAAACTGCTTGAGAAGATAACCAAGGAACACGAGCAGTACAGCGCTAACGTCAACCAGTTTCAATCGTGGCTGAGTGGTGTGACAGAAAGATTAAACTGCTGCATTGGAGAAGCAACCAAGTCTTCAGCAGAGGAGAAGTTAAAGACGTTGAAGGTCCTTAAATAATATAATTCTGACAGGGAGCCAGGATTGTGCGTTCTCCATGCCTATATATGTCTCTCAAACCACACAAGGGTGTACTTGAGAAAAGAATTGCACAAACAAAATAAGGTGGTGATTGTAACATGGACTGGGGCTGAAGAGTTGTATGAGGTCCCAAAACTTAGTACATGTTGTCCTCCTATCTGTAACGTGAGTCACAGCCTGATCTGCTTGGTTTCTCTTAAACCCTGATCTCCTACCGTTATCTGATTCTTGGAGAATTTTGCCCTTAAAACTTGTTTAACTGAGTGATATTTGGTGAACATGATCCACATAGAGCCGCAAAGCTCACAGCTTTTGAGAGTTGAGAGCTGGTGATAAAAATACCAGTTCTGAGAACAGTATCTAGTATGTTGGTGCTGCTGCTTAAACTGTTCAGCTTTAAATCTCTCAGAGATCTGATTATTAGTATTTCTTACTGCTTGCAGCTCCTGTTTTCTTTGTGAGGGACCTCAGGTGACACACATTCCTGAAAATCAAGCCAGTATTCTCAGAATCGTGGCAGTTAGTGTTACTCAGAAAGCAGTGAAATGATCAACACTGGCTTCTGGTCACTTGAAAAAAAACATACTTTGAAATAAGAAGTGAAGAGGAAAATGTGTACAACCAGGAGAGGTGGTCTTATTTTCCTATTGATTTCACCTTTTTCACCAACTTCCCATTCCTGCAGCTAATATTATTTGATTTATTTCTGCAGGAAATTGCCAAAAACATTAGGAGCGGGGCAAAGAAATTGAAGCATCTTGAAATTCAATGTGCAGAGGTGATTCACAACACGTCCCCCCTCGGAGCTGAGAAAATGAAGGATGAACTCGAAGAGCTAAGAAAAGCCTTGGAGAAGTTGAAACTGCTGAGCAGTGAGGAGGAGGAGAGGTTGCTCAAGATCCAACAGTCAGAAAGTGCCTACGAGTCCCAGGCCAGACAATTAGAAGCAGATGTCCAGGAGCTGAGAAAAGATCTACAGAGACTAGAAAATGAGCTGGACCTTGGGGAAGGGGACAAGACTGAAGACGAGTTTGTAACTCTGTGGAGAAAATGCAACGTGAGTTGTTACCCTTTGTATGCCTAAAACCAGCAGTCATAGATTGAACATGCATAGTCACATCCACAGGTGCCTGTCCCATTGGTTAAAGGGAGTGAAGGAGCAGCATGAGTGTGTATAAAACAGACTGAGGAAAATGTGAATAGCAACAACAGGATCAACTATATTGTAACCTTTATTTCACTCCACAGAGAGGGAGCAGGGCTGGAGGATGTGTTGCAATTTGTGTCTTGACTTCAAAGAGACCATATGCAAAAAGAGCACAATACAGAGCAAACAACACAATTTGCACTACTTAAAAAGAGGCAGGGAAAGTAATGCCTCACTGTATATACAATCAACACACACACAGACACACAAATACACTTTGGTTGGGCCATTTTTGTATTATATCCTTCACCTGTGTAAGGTGGGTAACTGCTTTCCTTTGCCATCAGACACATCTTTGTTACCAAGAAGTCTCAAGTTTGTAGCAATCCAAGGTTTACACCAAAATCAATCTGTTGCAAAAATGAGTGCAAAAAGTTTGTCACACATAAAGTAGATAAGAATCTTTACCACTCATTTCCTCCTGAGGGTTGGTTTTGCCTTTATTATCTCTTCTCAGAATACCTTTCATTGCTATTTGTATGTCTAGAACTCAGCAGGACTAGCTGGGAAAAGTATTTGCAAAAGGATCCACAAAATACAGACTGGTTCAATCCAGCTACATTTGCATTGTTTTTGTTGTTTTGGTTTCCCTGCGTCACCCTAGAATTAACATTCTGAGTATCTGAGTGTTTGAGAAAGATCTTTTCATGCAACAGACTGCTCCAAAAATGCATCACGCATTTTGTACTGCAGTCAGTTAACTGAAACTGGCCCTGTTTGTGGTTCCCTCTGCTCAGTGAACCCTGCAGATGAGATGCAGAAGCAGTGCGAGGAGAGGAGAGAGAGCCTGCAGGAACAAAACGGTTCCTGCAAGTGTTTTCTGCCTTAGTAAAGTCCTTATTCATTACAACAGGGAAAAAGGCAGCAGAAGCGGGATTTGTGAATACCCGGAGAGACAGCCTTATCTCTTCCTTTTGTGTGTCAGACACTACATGAGATGTGATCTGTTTGTTATTTTTATGATTTAAGGCAACAAGAGCAGCTCTGGCTGCAGAAGAGTCCAAGGTTGAGAGGCTGAAGGCTCAGCTTAAGGAACTGCTACGGTTTTCCCAAGATGTGCAGCCACACGCCGAGAGTGTTGTCTCTGCAATACAGCACTATCAAAGGTACTGGGAAATCTTATCATGTGGGGAGGATAGGGGGAATCTGCTCTCAGACACTGAAGGGACTGACAAGGGCCTCAGAAAAAAGTGCTATGCCATCCCATTGTAGGTGATGGATAGAAAAGAAAGGCTTTTCTAATTACATCCACCTCCATGTTTCAGTAAACCTGTAATTTTAGCCATTTGCTAGGAGCTGTGGGCTGCTGGCCATTTTCAAGCAATGTTCTTGCATTATTAATGTTGTGTATGGTTTGAAGAAAATTAGATTGTCGGTAGCTAATTCGATCTTCTTAATATTTGTATAATAATAATTGATGTATCTTGCTTGCCTTTCAAGACAGCAACTAGAAAATCAGGACAGGAGCTGCAGTAGTAAACGGTTCAGAAGAATTATGGCCCTCCCTTGTTGAGTCTGTTGTGATGACTCACCAGCCTTAGCAATTACTTGGCAGAGTTTATTCCCTTTCTCCTGGCGGCATGCATGCGTGATTCCTGTTTTCAACTTGCCTTGGGTTGGAAACTCTGAAAGTTTAGCCTCTCCCCAGACTTCAGCGTTTCCGTTTCCAGGCTGCCTGGAATCAGGAAGTAGAGAAGCTGCAGCAAATTTTGCAAACTAGAAGAAAGGATCATTTATTTTTAAGGAAAAAGAAAGGTCAGTTTTTTTACTGTATCCAAACTTATTTTCCTCTGCCCTGTGCACAGTATGCTGTCTGCTGGAAGGGTTATAGGTCACTATGGGGAAGTTTAAAAACTAACAAGTGAGCGATGTTGAAAGAGAAGCAAAGAAAGCAGAGGACTTGGCTCTGAGTGGAAAATGGCAGCTGCGCTTTTGCCAGCTTCCCCCAAAGCTGCTTTGCGAAGTCTGGCAGCTTCACGCTGAGCCTGGCAGGGGCAGCAGAGCAAATGGTGAAGGACACGTAATGTCACAACTTTCTATTTGCGGAGCTGTTGGCCTCTGCGCGCTTGCCGTTGTTTAGCTCCGTAATGTCACGGTGACACAGGTAAGGTTGTTGTTTCTGGTTTTATAGAAAGGCAGTACTAATCCTGACCGGCATTGGTCTTGCCTGCCTGTCTTGTGAATTTGCAGCATGCTGTTTCCTTCTGAACGTACAGTTTGGGCTGCATTCTGCCGTATCAAATAGGATTCTGCAAACTGGGAGGTCAGGAAGGCTGAGAAAAACAGGAGGCAGCTGCATGGGGTGTGTCCTGCTAGGCCTTGTTACTCAGCTGTATTTTGGATAAGCCTTTGTAAGAGAAGCCTGGCTATTTAATGAGTATGTGCTGATTTTATTTTATATATATATATA